CTCTCCCCCTGTGCACCTCATTCGCCCCTCCCCCCTGCCAGCCTGAGCGCGATCAGGACTTTGGGCCCGTCTCAGACTGCGCTAAAGGCCGCATTGCTGGTGAGGTGCATTGCACCGCTCTGCACTCCTCCTCCTCAACCCCCCCCCCACACCCCTGGGATAGAGGCCGCACTGCTGGTGAAGGGGGGCGAGGGGTTGAGTTGTGCTGGGCTTTGTGGTGGAATGGAATGTGAAGTCCTTTTTTAGCGGACTTGCCCATGCCCCCCTTGCCCATGCTCCCCTTGCCCATGCTCCCCTTGCCCATGCTCCCCTTGCCCATGCCCCCTTGCCCATGCCCCCATGCCCATGCCCCGTAGCCCTCCCTTGACTTTGCCCCCATTGCTGGGTTGTGAAGAAGCACTCTTATTCCCTGCGGTACCCATCGTTCTGTCCCCCACCCTCTCTCTCCCCCAACCTCTCTTTCCCCCAACCTCTCTTCCCCCCACCCTTCCCCCCAGTGAGGCCGCGCAAGGGCAATGCGCTGCTCTACTTGCACCTCTTCCCCAACGGCTACAGCAACCCCAGGGCACACCGGGAGGACTGCCCTCTCTGTACTTGTCCCTAAACCTTCTTCCCCCAACCTTCACCTCCCTCCCCCAACCTCCCTCCCCTTCCCCCCAGTGAGGCCACGCAAGGGCAATGCGCTGCTCTACTTCCACCTTTCCCCCAACGGCTACAACGACCCCAGGGCATACCGGGAGGACTGCCCTCTCCTCCCTCCCTCCCACCCAACACCCACTGTGGGGACGAGCTTGGGGGGGCTTTTTAGGGGAATGAGGGGCAGCAGTGGGAGCGATGGCAGTGCTGGTGCAGGAGGCAGCACGGGCGGCGGCGCGGGCGGCGGTGCGGGCGGCAGGCTGGAAGCAAAGTGGACGGCGGAGAAGTGGGTGCACATGTTCAAGTACATGACGCGGCGAAGCCTTTTGGACTGTACAGACGAACACCCCAACTGTGCCATGTGGGCGGCGGGCGGCGAGTGCAAGAGGAACCCAGGGTACATGGTGGGAGAAGGTGGGTATGTGGGGAATTGTCGCAAGGCATGTAAAGTTTGTAACGACTGATCGAGCTGTTAGCAGGCCATGTGGGCGGGCGGACAGCGAGTGTAAGAGGAACCCAGGGTACATGGTGGGAGATGGTGGGTATGTCGGGAATTGTCGCAAGGCGTGTAAGGTTTGTAGCGATTGATTTGAGCAGTTAATGGGCAGTGGGGGCGGCGGGCGGCGAGTGTAAGCGAAACCCCGGGTATATGGTGGGTAGGAGGAGGAGGGTATGTCGGCAATTGCCGCAAGTCGTGTAAAGTTTGTAACGATTGATTGAGCTGTTACCAGGCTGAGTGGGCGGGTGGGCAGCGAGTGCAACAGAACCCCGGGCACATGGTGGGCGAATGTGGGTATGTGGGGGATTATTGCAAGTCGAGTATTGTAGCGATTGATTTGAGCTGGTATGAGACAACGGGGTCGTTGTATGGAAAGCGGAGGGGTGAATGGGGAAGGTAAGAGAGGAGGAAGTGGGTTTGTGATATTAGAGCGCAGAGAAATAGAAATGGTTGATGCTCTTTTGTTGGGCATAAGCTGCACCTTGAGCGCTGCTTGATAGAGGACGGATAAACCTGCAATCATAGTTCCCCCAAGCAAGTGAGGAGGTTGTGTATCTATTTGCCTGAAACCTACTGTGCATATAACACATGTACACAGACGTTGTATGGTTCATAATAGACTTAGCGACAAGTTTACACAAGATGCGGATGAAAGAGCTCCTGTTTTACAGCGGATTCCTCTAATGGGAGCGGAGATACTTGTCACCAAGATTCTTTGAACTGCACATGCGTAAACACGGGTGAAATGATTGCTTCCCGATCAACCACCCCCAACGGGTAGGTTTGTTGCATCTGCCAAAACTGGACCTAGTCTTTTGAACGCTTCAAACAGACGAGAGTAATGTTTGTTTGTTTGTTGTGCATGCATGCATGTTCCAACCCAAAACAGGCGCATTGTGGCAGTGCTCGGTCGGTAGGAAAGTGTCTCCACAGTGAACTTAACTGTAATGAAAAAACTTTTGGCCCCCCAAAATTGTGAAGGGTCATTTGGTGGGCCACCCAAAACGTAGGGATCGACCAATCAAAAAACTTTTGGCCCCCCAAAAACGTAGGGATCGACCAATCAGAAATCTTGCATTCTCGCGCAGCTTCAGGAGATATCTCTGGAAGATATTCAAGTCCTTGGCTTTTAGCTCATCATCACCGTCAGATGCGTATTTCGCACGAGCAGAAATGCTCTGCACCAGACCCATCATCAGACATTCCAGCCAATGACTCATAAAGTAGTCTTTCTGACGCCGGCATCCCAGCTTTCCGCCCAAATGTCGTCCGCCGACACCCGCGGTTTCCCGCTTTTCGCCATGACCCTGGCACTGTGCGCACATTCTCTTTCCGCCATATGAGCGTGGGCCCACCCCTTCCTCCCAATCTTTTCCGATCACCATGTTTTCCCGGCGGGGGGGGTTGGGGGGGAAAAGGGGGAGGGAGCTGGAAAATAGGATGGGTGAAGTGAAACTGGGTGGGTTGAGATGAGATGGAGGGGGACCAGCAAAATCTGGACTCTGGTCCGCACCCAGAACAGCTGCTTCCTGCTGGTCTGCATCTCTGGTTATGGGTGGGAAAACAAAACCCCTGGCCCCACCTCCACTCCACACACACAAACACCCCCCTTTCCCACCTTGAGTGCATGTCCTTCCATCTCGAATGCGTCCCCTCCGCCCAATCTGAAGCCAGCGCGGTCAAACTCCCCCGCCTCCCGTGAGGTTGCCAACCAATCCTAGCGAATCGCGAGCGCGAGGTCGCTGTGCACTTTCCGCCCGTTCCGCAGTTCCGCACGCACTGCAGTCCTTTCCATTCCCCCATTTCTCCCGATCTTTCACCAGCCGAGTTCCTCCAAATTCGTCAAGCCCGAAGGACCAGCACAGCGCGCCAATTACATTAACCTGGCCTCCCCCGAGTGCCCCACTTTCCGCGCATCGTCTGAATTTGCCCCACTTACACAGGATGCTCAGCTGATGCACGTAAATTTGGTGTTTTCAATTTCGACAGCCTGCCCAATTGCATTTGGTCCAGCTAGTTGCATGCACTATACAAGCCTCTTTTTTTATCGTAGCCGTTGAAAATCCACCTTATCACGCTGGCATCCGTCCGTTCGAGAGATATTTTGAGAGACTGGTTACACCTGCCCAATAATCTCTCGATTTTGCCCGTGAAGAAACGCTGGCGAGCAGGCGAAATATGTATTGGTCACTAAACCTTTAAATGACGAGAAATGCTGTAAGTATCTAGCGGGTATAAAGTGTATCTTCCCCCAACCTGAGGTGAGACCCTTCTCCGCTCGAAATATTCAACGCGCGGAACAAGACGAGCACCCACAACACGACCACTCACTCACTGGTTACGAAACCTACCTCATCTTCTCCAAGGACCAGACCGACCTTGACACGTCCAGAAATATCGATAAATCCTCGCAGGTGTATTATCCAGTTCTCTCTCACGAAACACAAGTTCCTTCAAGAGCAGCGAGCTACTCAGTTTGTCATCATTGCTCGAGCATCAAGATACAGCAGTTTATCTTTCAGAGCTCAGTTTATCTCCTTCCAGACTTTCAAGATAGAGCCTCGAAGCCATCAAGAGCTGCACGAGACGCGAGTTCTTTCGCGTTCGACAAGAGCATGAGAAATATATTCTTGCGATTTTCGCCAACGTTGTTACGGGATGGATGCGATTTCCAGCGAAGCGTGCTCGATGAAGTCAAGGGTCAAAACGCGGCCCGCCAGACACTATATCGCGCGATGGACGCCCGAGGTAAGCTTCTTGTGAGACTCTCGCGTCATCTTGCGACTACAGCACCCCACATTGCGTTTTCCCGAAGCCATGCATTCAAATTCGCATAACGCTACACCCCATATCACATTCCGTCTCATTTTTTCTCATCTTATCTATCTTGTCTCCTCTTATCCCATCGTAACGCGCCTCGGCTCGGCGCGCAGGAGGACGCAATTCTGTTGGAGCACGTGATGCTACACGGAACGAGCCAATGGGGGTTGCTGCAGCGCAGCAACCGCCTGCCGCTGCGCGACAACAAGGCGTGCTGTAACCGCTTCATCCTCCTCAAAAAGTGCGTCGCTAACCGCTCTGAACCTTTTGCAACTTCAAATTTCTACCCAACGGCAGCGCATCCAGAACTGACGGAAAAAAAAAATGCACCGAAAGTTGTTCTTTCTGTCGCAATCGTTGCGATTTTCTCCTCTCATCGACTTTCCCACCCCCGCCGTTCGTTCCGCTCCCTGTTCGCAGGAAGTTCATCGAGCAAGACGGCTCATCCTCCGTGGCTCACGGCGCGTTCCTGATGGGTCCCGATCCCGTCAGGCCGTCGGCTCCTGGCGGCGGGTCGCTCCCGCCGCCGCCGCTGGAGCTGCCGCCGGTCGGCGAGCCGCACCACTGGAGCGCCACGGCGACGGCTTACGCGCTGCATTGCTCGCCAAGCTACCACTCTCTTCGGAGCGGTAATCAGCAATCGCTTGGCAGTGGTAACCATCCGTCGCGTGAGAATTACTCGAACTGCGTGGTTACGGGAATGCGAGAGGGAATGCGAGACGACAATCTGAACCACCACCACTCCCACCAGCATCACCTCTCGGCCGGCCCTGGGGGCCTACTGGCGTCTTCAACCACCTCACCGCACTCCACATCCCTCAACTCCCTCAACTCCCTCGACGCTTACTCTTTCACCGCGCCGCCGCTTCCTTTCCCCTCCGCTCCGTCGACGCATCGCTCGCTGCTTCTCGACGCGATGCCGCCCCGGAAGTCGTCGTCGCGTCTCGTCGTCGAACTGACCGGCGATTGGGGTTTTACCGCCGCCGACGCCGCCGCGTCCAGCGCTGCCGCTGCTTCCGCCGCCACCGCCTGCTCGGACAACTCGATGAATCTCTCCCCGCACCCGTCGCGCACGTCCCTCGCGCCGCATCACGCCGCATTTGCCGCTTCCGCGTTTCCGCACGCGCAGCATGTGACAAGCTCCGCCGTTGGCTTGTCCCCTTGTCCGGTTCCGCGGACTTCGCTGGCAGTGGCGGTAGCTGCTCTGCCTGGGCCGGGTACTCTCCCTGTTTCTCCGCTTGGCGTTGCTCCCCCCGTTGCTTCTCCGCGCGGTGCTGCTCCGCCCGGCACTCCGACTCTTCCGAGGGTTCACCGTCACAGCGCCTCCAAGGCTCCTCCTCCTCGTGCTGCTGCTGCTGATTCTGCTTCTCCCGCCGCCGCTTCACCCGCCGCCACCCCCCGGATCGACCGCGCCAAAACCGCGTACGCCTACGATGCTTCATCTGCCGCCGCCGCCGCCGCCGCCGCCGCCTCCTCTGCCTCGGCTGCTGCTGCTTATGTTTCTGGTGGGGGCGTGAGGGGCGTGGATGAGCGTGAGCGGAAGAGAGCGAGGATGATGGGGCCGTGCAAGGAGGAGGCGAGGGAGGAGACGCGGGAGGAGGCGAGGGAGGAGACGCATGAGGAGGCGAGGGAGGAGACGCGGGAGGAGGCGAGGGAGGAGACGCGGGAGGAGGCGAGGGAGGAGACGCGGGAGGAGGCAACCACCAGACTCCAAAGCTACGGCGCTGTGAGACTCGGCAGCGACGACACTGAGATGTCTGATGAGACCCCTGTACCACCACCGCTGCATCATGCTCAGCAGCAGCAGCAGCAGCAGCAGTGGTATGCCATGAACCTTGCTGGCAACACTGTTCCCTCTTCGCCCGTGCCGCCCGCTTCGCCAGAGGTAAACCCCTCATCCGCCTCTCCTGCTCCTCCTGCCGCCCGGCTTGTCGACGTGGAGGGTGTTTCCGTCAATGTCGAGAGCGATTTTTGCGTCCGTGACGCAGCTTTTGCCACTGGCCGTGATCCTGCTTTTGCCGCTGCCCCTGATCCTGCTTTTGCCGGTCGAAACTGCGCCGACTGGCCCGCGGAGAGGGCAGGAGTTGCTGACGAATGTCGTGAAGCACACTCGTCGGTTGTCGACACAAAAAAAGCTCCTGACTCTGCTGCTTCTGACACTGCTGCCACTGCTGCTGCTGCTGGGCTTTACTCTGCGGGTTCGGTGCTTGTGCCAGATTCGGAGCTTTTGGCTTGTTTGAACAGCCTCACCTCCTGCCTATCGTGGCCGGACCTGACTCTCCTGGATACCGATGTTTGCATTAAAATTGGTGGCGCTGGTTACCCAGCATGCATGATGGGGCGATCTGGGTTGGAAATGGGGGAGCAGATTGATGGTTGCGTGGCTCCAAGAGAAGATGGTGAGGTCCTGGCATTGCGCCCAGACTTTTTGCTGGAGATGATGTCTTCAGGTTGATTTTCTTTCATTCTGCCACGGACTGGAGGCCTTTTTTTTCTAGGCCAAGATATTAAGATGCTGTGTATCTGGGTGAATTATGCTGAAACTCTTATTCAACATACTCGATGTAAAATATAAATAATGATGACTATACGGGTGTTATGAGTTGTAAAAGAGAGTGTGCAGGTAAACGAGTAACGAGGCTTTGACGGAAGCAACTGCGAATACAATGAGTGCACAGACTAATGTAGGGCTGGTCTAACTAGGAGGAAACCTCGGACGAGCGAGGTTGGGTGCAGGTTTGGCGATGGGAATGCCGAAGACGACGCGAGGAACCTCGGCAGCGTTGAAATTGGCCGAACGTGCGAACTCCGAAAATCGGGTTGTACGCGAAGCAGTCAACCCCAATAAGGAATTCGGGAAAATTCCTTACAGCGGTGCCTTCAAGTATCGCAAATAGCGAGAGCATGTTTAACAGTACCTGCCACATCAGCAGCCGACAATATAGCTTCGGTGAAGGTGGGTCAATGTAAGGAAATTCCCTTTTCCTTACTTCGCGTCCCTGCTCAACGCGTACATCACTGTAGCACCTCAGTCAGCACCGTTACCACTCGCGACCATCGCATCATTCATCATCCCGCCCTTTTTCGCACATCGCATCCCGACCTCACGGCTCGGCTGGTAACCCGCGCTCCGGACCTACGCTTCGACACTTTCCCAACCTCAGTCCCAGGCTCGTCGCGCGACCATTACCGTTACCGCTGTAGTTTCGCTATATAATGTTCGTGTTAAAAGCCTAAGTTGACTTAGGACTTGGGTTGAGGGTAGAACGAGAGTTACGAGAGGAAGGGGTCGAGAGATTAGCCAAAAGAGCGTTTCACTATAGACTCAAAGGTACAAATAGGCAAGAAGCATGACAAGAAGGTGCACCACCAAACAGGATGATTAGGATAACTACACTACAGCTAGAACTACATGCAGTTATAACAAATTAATTCTGACAGTTCGCTCATGCCTTCGCTCATTTGTATTCTTGCTTCGATAGTGCAATTCTCGTTCGTTCACTCAATTGCACTCGTAACACTTGGTATTCAGAGCCTACGATCTCATCTCGGACCGCATCCACACCTTCGCTTCCCACTATCTCAATTTTTGGGGGGGGTAGACGTCTCTCAGCGACACAGCACCGCCGCTCGTAGTGCTCTCTCGAAAGCACGCACGGCCACGACCGAGGCTCTCGCTGAGCTTGCCCGACACCCCCGCCATGGCCGATTTCAATCTCGCCACGTTGACGCAGGAGCAACTCGATCGTCTCGTGCGTCAATTGGAGGATTCGGCGCTCGAAATCGCGACTCTCACAGCGGAACGTGACTCCGCCCGTCAACAGTCAACGGTGAACGTACCGACGACATCACACACACCAACCAATGCATCTGCACATTCGGAGGAGCCCATCGTCATCTCATCCGGCACACCAACGCAACACAACAGCACGGGACAGCGCTCAGGCGCAGCCAGTGACGGCGCAGCCCAACCGATGCCCGGCATGGGAGGGAACAGGAGTGCATTAAGCCCACGGGAGCCCCGAGAAGCCCGTCGGCACGTAGAGTTTGCGGCGACAAGTGGCGAGAACGCCATGATGGCCCCAATGCCACTCAAGCCGCAACGCCCGCCCTGCTTCGACCCAAGCCAACGCGGCGGCCCGACAGTTCAATCGTGGGTCTTCACGATGAATGTGTTTTTCGACGCCAACTACGTCGAGTCGGACGCCGCCAAGATCCGGTATGCGGTTTCACTACTCAGGGGCCCCACCATGGACTGGTGGCGAGTCATTGTGACGTCGCCGCGCGCCTACGAGCCACCGTCGCACGAGGAAGGGCCCTCGGGTCCAGCTGTTACCTGGAGTTTGTTCTGCGAAACCGCCCAATACAGCACGTGGGATGCGTGGTGCGCAGGACTTCGGGCGCGCTTTGAGCCGATCGCGGCCTCGATTTCGGCGCGTCAGAAACTGCGCACTTGGCGCCAGCTCGGGTCAGTTCAAGACTACACCAGCGGGTTTCTCGCACTTTGCGAACAGGTCGGCTACATGTGAGAATAAGCGAACAGGAATGAATGAACTAGCAGTGAAACGAGTACAAGTAGGAAACCCTAGAATTGTGTACCCCCTATAGGCTAACCCACTGTAGCCTACACAAGCAGAACATATATAATGTTTGACACACCCCCATAGGCAAAGTGGGGGAGAACAAGGGGTCACAAGACCAGTCAAGCAAAGCAAAGCAAGCTCAGGGTGGATCACAAAGTCACCACACAGTCCGAGCACAAGAGCAGGGCCAGAGGCCAGTTCACATGCAGGAGTACAGACATATATATAAAACTAGACAAGCAAGAGCAGGTATATATATATGTCACAGTACAAGTGAAGTTAAGAGGAGAGCAAGTGAGGCAAGACAGGCACAAGACCCAGCTGGGTGCAAAAGCGCTGATGGTCACAAGGCGCGAGTGCCTTGGTGAACACATCAGCAGTGTTGGCCTCAGAGGCCACGTACGCAAGTCGCAACTGACCACGCTGCTGCAGCTCACGAGCAAGGAAGTAGCGGAGAGCAATGTGCTTCGTTCTGTGCTCCAAGCGCTGCTCTCGACACAAGGCCAGCATGGCCTTGTTGTCTACGTACAGCACTGGAGGAGAACGAGGTGGCTCTCCAAGGTCAGTCAGCAGGTAGGTGAGCCAGCGAAGCTCCTGTGCAGCCATGGCCCCGGCGTAGATCTCAGCCTCACAACTGGAGCCGAGAACCGAAGACGAGCGAGTAGACCGCCACGAGACAGAGCCGGAACCAAGGCTGAAGGTGTAACCCTGTGACGACCGCTGCGTAGCCTGGTCGTCAGCCCAAGAAGCGTCCGCGTGGCCGGTAAGGACCACTGGACTCCGCCCTCCAAGCACTAGCCCCATGCCCGACGTACTGCACAGGTAGCGCAATACCCTCTTCGCTGCAGCCATGTGCTCTGGTCTGTGTCTCCCAGGAGCAACATAGTGTGCAAGAATGCTCAGAGGGTATGCAAGGTCAGGTCGTGTGCAGGTCATCAGGTACATGAGGCAGCCAACAAGCTCTGCATACGGACCACTCGACTCTACGGACTCATCCGAAGGCAGAGCTGAGAGTGAGTGGCGAGTAGGCAGAGGAGTGGCCTGAGGCGAGGAGTACGTGAAGCCAAAGCGCTGAAGGACCTGCTGCACCATGTGTGACTGAGTCAAGGTAATGGTGCGGCGTGCTCTGTCCCGAGTGATCTGCAAGCCAAGGTAGCTGCGCAGTTCACCCAGGTCTGTGCACGTCTGTCTCTTCAGCAGTTCGGACTTCACGTAGGCGAGTCCAGCAGTGTCAGCTGTGGCAAAGACCAAGTCGTCGACGTACACGAGGATGTAGAACGGCGGCAGTGAAGTGTCGGTGCGCAGAAACAGCGACGGGTCAGCAGTAGAAGGAGCAAACCCAAGAGCTGCAAGCGTAGTCCTCAGTGTGTCGTGCCACTCACGCGGTGCCTGGCGGAGACCGTAGACTGGCCGTCGGAGGCTCCACTGGGTGCCAGGAGGGAAAGTCCCAGTGAAGCCAGGTGGACGGCGCAGCCAGATCTCCTCGTGCAGGCTACCCTGCAGGAACGCAGTGCTGAAGTCGAGAGAGTGAAGCTCGTAGTCGCGCTGAGCGGCTATGTGCAGCAGCACCCAAAGAGTGGTCATCTTCGGGGTGGGAGAGAAGGTCTGAAAGTAGTCAACTCCCTGCCGCTGACTGAAGCCACGAGCAACGTACCGTGCCTTGAAGACAGGTGGAGAGCCCGGCGGCCGCTTCACCCTGAAGATCCACATGCCACTGACGATGTTCGCCCCAGGAGGGGGAGCCGCGTCAACGTAGGTGCCTGTGGACTTCCAGGAAGCAATCTCTGCATCCATAGCTGCCTGCCACTGAGAGGAGTAGGGACCCTCTACGGCCTCCGCGTAAGAACGCGGAGTCGGGATGTCTAGTGCATCCGGGTCTCCCTCAGGGGCAAGCAGTACAGACGCGAGATGAGGTGAAGCAGCCGCTAGACACTGTAACTCCTCCTGCCTGTCCTCTAGGACGTCCGTGCCAAGAGCACACTCACCCCCGACGGACGGAGGAGAGACAGACGCAGACTCAGCAACAAGACTAGCAGCGTAGTCGAGAAGACAGCGAGCAGCAAAGTCAACGAGCTCAGCGACTAGAGCAGACGCAACAGTGGACTCAAAAGAGGGGTCAGTGACGACAGTAGCAAGCAGACGCGTGACAGTAGGAGTGGCAGCGCGAAGAGAGTCCGACTCAGGGTCGGCAAGCGCAGGAAGAGAGGACTCAGGAGGAGAAGGCAAAGGGGCACGCAGAGGAGCAGTGGACGGACGCAGAGACATCCGGTGCGTGCCAGGGATAGGAGGAGGACGCTGACGCGAACCGCGACCACTAGCGCGAGCTGCACGAACCGGCGACGCGGGACGAGACGCAGGCTCACGACGCTCAGCAAGACCTCCAGTAGGACCAGTGTAAGGAGAGGGAGCAGGCAGAGGAGAGGAAGGCTCCAACAGTGACTGCGACTGGACAGGCTGTGGACACTCTACCGAAGGAGAAAGACCAAGAACCTGCTGTAGGAGCGGAACGAAGTACGGCCGAGGCCGCGCGGCAGCTCCAGACTCAGCAGGGACAGCACCGGCACCCTCAACGACAGCACCAGCGCCACCAACACCTCCAGCGGCAGGACCTCCAGCAGCACCAGCAGCAGAACCACCGCCAGGACAGACAGCAGTAGTCTCAGCACCAACACCCTCAGCAGCTCCAGCTCCAGTAGGACCCGCAGGCCCAGCAGCTCCGGGACCGGCAGCACCAGCACCCTCGACGGTCGACGAAGCTCCAGCTCCAGCAGCACTCCTCCAGCGGCGAGCAAACCACTCGCGCAGCTCCTGTGGAGAGAGGGGCTCCCGGCGAGACGCAGCAGCAGGAGAAACCCCAGGCTCAGCAGCTCCA